AACATGTTCATGCCACTAGAGTTTTTTGTTTGTTTGTTTCGGTTCTTTTGCTAGATAGCTCATGGGTAAGGATGAAAGGGGGAGGAGAAGGGAAGGCTGAGTGACTGCGCTAGAAGGCAGACTCCCCATTGGGGGCTGCTCTCTTCATATGTTTTATCCCCTCTCTTTAAGCCTTTGCACCCTCTGCCCCATAGCCCATAGCTATTGATGACTACATTGACCCAGTGTGGCATCCACCTAGGAGGGTTGGTCACTTGTCTGTGTAAAGAACATGGCTGGCAGCTCCTCTTGTGTTGCTGGGCAGGCGGAAGGCTGCGGGTGAGGCTGGCAGAGCAGGTTTCATCTCACCTTATGGGGATGGGGCCTGATGGTACACAGACGTCAGTGGAGGAATTTCTCACACACATGGGCTGGCAGTGTGCAGGAGAATGGATCTAAGTTTCAAATTTTTATTTGTAGGTAGACTTTGGTAAGAAGAGTTTCTTCTGGATACTCATGGGTAAAGAGCTGATTGTGTCTGGGAGGCGATAATGTGCTGAGCAGAAATGTCACTAGTGAGAGTTGTGACACTGTTGCAGATAGAATGTCTTGGTGTGTACAACAGAGGTCGAGGTGCAGCGTGGCATTGTGCCTGCACTGTGAGCATGTGTAAGAGTTTGGAGAGTTAATATTAATATTTAAGTCGATTCTAGTTATAATTATGAGCTTCTAGAGTCTCCAGACTGTACGTTTGCAAAGATTTGGGGTGAATTTCACTTCCCATTTCACTCTCGTTCTCTCCCTATTTGCATGTCCTTCTTCCTTGTGCTCTTCCCCTCTCTAGATCCTCAGCTCAAGAGGGGAGCTAACCTTCAGAAGGCCAGAAGCAACTGGGTAAAAGTAAGGAGTAACAGTCACAAGTGAGGCGATAATATCGTTTTAATTAGAGCCCTGCCTGAAGAGATTTCATGCTGTAGATATGTGTAAACTGTAGGCAAGCTATGTACATATTTCCCAGCTGTCAGATATAGCTGTCAGAATAAACAGTTTCACAGCTGCACTCTATTCTTAATTCCAATGTCCAGAATTTCACAATTTATGGCACTAAAATGAAAACTTAAAATCTGCCAACTATTTATTCATTGTCTCAATTAGCATGGTATCAAAATAAAATTAAATATTTTGTTTAAAAAATAAGCGATACACAGCAAAAGAAAATTAGACCTATGTGAGGGCTGTAGAGGAGGCCGGTCTTTCCCTTGTAACCTGTGAACCACAGTTGCTCAGACAGGTGCTGTGAACATGTATTTGAGCACTGGAGCAGGAGTCTTCAGTAGGAGGGGAGCCTTTAAAAATACTTTGAGAAACAATGGCCTGAAAGGATAAGGCATGTAGGATTATACTTAAGAATTTAACAGTCTAGTTAAGAGAAGAAGCAGTAGCCAGCATACTTTTTTTTTGTTAGCACAAAGAGAAACTGCCTAGATGTAACTGAAGGGGCAGAGTATTGGTCATATTGTACAGAAATATTGGTCAGGAACATTCTTTTAATAGTCAGATGGGTTAGAACCTAACCCATTGGGAGAATCATCCTAGAAGGTTTTGGCATCAAGGCATGCCTTTCCTCAGCTTGACACAGAGTGGGAGGCAAAATCATGTGGGAATTGGGTATTAATTGCAGGAAGAAAAGTGATGTAGAGAGGAATATTGTTGTCACAAGTCAGTATGAGCATCTTCTCACAGAGTGCTTTGGTGGGCTCGGGAGGTAAGTTGGTTTCCCATATGTACTTTCATGGTTATGTGGGTATGCCTAGATATATACCTTAACATTTCTAGATTTATTTAGTATATTCCATATGCATCTAGACAAACTGTAATCATTGGAAAAAGTTGATTGTACAAACAGCTTGAAAGAAATTTACTGAGTGGACTCCACCACACTATACATTTCTTTGCTCGTTCATCCAATTTTATTGGGCTGCAAGGAAATCTTACCGTTTGTGACAACATGGATGGACCTGGAGATTATTATGCTAAGTGAAATAAGCCAGTCAGAGAAACACAAATACCATGTGATCTCACTTATATGTGGAATAAACAAAACTGACGAACAAGATAGAAGCAGGCGCATAGATACATGGAACAGTCTGACAGCTATAAGAGGGGATGAGGGAGGGGGCACTGGATGAAAGAAGGTAGAGAGATTAGCCAAAAAATGTATACACATAACACAGACCCAGACAACAGTGTGGTGACAGCCAGCGGGGAAAGCGGGATGGGGCGAGGTGGAGGCGGGCAAAGGGGCAAAAAATGGGGATGGAAAGAGACTTTGCTTGGGGTGATGGGCGCAGAATATGGTGTGCAGATGATGTTTTTTGAGTTGACACTTGAAACTTGTATGGTTTTGCATACCAATGTCACCCCAATAAACTCAATTTAAAAAAATTAAATAAATAAAAAGTGACACAATCCGAATTATATAAAATAAAATAAAAAAAGATTAATTGGCTCAGTTCTCCAGGACAGAGGCTCCCAGGCCTATGTGATGCCAATGGGGAGTGGGTTCCTGAGCAAACCTGCTCCACCAACTCTAGATAAAGAGTTGAGATTTTTAGTTTAAGGCTTTCTTCCTGGGGAAAATGAAAATCCCTCCAATAGAATAATAGCAGTTTGAACCCACACTGGGCATTCACTGTTCACAGAGAGAGAAGAGGAACAAGCTAATTCAAACAAAAGAACAGAGAACTTGAGGCAGGCAGAGGGATGGGGGGTGGGCAGGCGGGGTTGGAGATACACTTTCACACTCCAGCTGCCTGGGACTCAGCATTTTTGTTCATCATATGTGAAATTAATTGAGGGGCCTGTGCTTCCTTATCATAGGCTTTTGGAGACAGCCAGTTTTGCAGACTACCTATGCCCTTTGTCATAGACCAAAAAAAAAAAGGCCTAAACTACTTGGGGAGACTAGCACAGGGCCTCTGGTGAGCCCTCAGAATGAAGATCCAGTTGTAAACTGCAGCGTTTGACTGGTTACCTATTGGTTGCTGCTACGTTGCTAACGTCATGGTTCTCCTTGGCTGTGAATATGGTAGCTGGTTGAGGAATCTCTTTTCAGTAAAATTTTTGGTTAAAGCATTTTGTCAATATTTCCGGACTCTGGTTTGTTCCTTTGGTGGATGTCCCTTGAGAGAGATGCTGAAGTTTGGCTCATTATAATTGTGAAATCTGTACCTAATCTCTGGATTGGCGAATATCCAGTTGTCTATAAATACTGGAATGAAAGCAAAGGACATGGGGACTGGGCTGCTTTTCTGTATCATACAAGCTTCATTCTGGAAATTAAAGAAATTTAACCACACAAAAAAAGATTACAGAAAGGACCAACCTCTTTAAATTACCTATGCACAAACAAAGCTGATGTTGAGAAGGTTTTCCAGGAAATGCAATAAAAGGTCTTATTGTCTCCAAAGGTGGGTGCTCTGTAATAAATGTGCTCCAGGAGCAGGGGTATGAACGTGGGTATGAGACATTGGGGGCAGGTATGTTGGCCATGTGCCTGTAGTTGAGAGTGGCCCACCATGAGCAGCTCTATGTGGGGATACGTGTGTACGCTGGGCTTTAAATAACCTCCTTCAGTATGTATTAGTGGGTGTGTGGTTTGGTTTCTGGGCAGAGCTCACGAGTTTGAGCTGGCTGCTGACTGACCTATCTTCCACTTATACTATGGTAAGAGAGATTATGCTCACAGAACCTATTCCCAGTGAGCCGAACTCATTAAACTGCTGCTCCCTAAATGAAAATAATTACATATGATAATGCGCTGAAAAGGAAGTAAGAGGCAAGGGAAATAAGCATGAGAATGGCAGTGAAAAATTTTCAAATAGCTTTTGAATTCCCCTGGTTGAACATATGTTTATTTTTAAGACCTTCTTCATTTCACCCTCTCAAGGCTCTCTGTTTTTGGCCCTGTCATTAAATGCTTTTCTTTCCATGTGGTCTTGTGGAATTGTGGAAATTGTGTCAATTACCTTTCACCTTGCCTTTTCGGCTTTCAAACTCAATGAGATGGACTTTGCCGTCTTATTATTTATTCATTGACTTCACAGATCCCTTGTTATACAAAAACCCACGGATAAGAATTCACTTCTCTGCAATTTTTCTCCTTTAGGCTACTCCTCTGTTTACTTGGGCTTCTATCAACCAACCACACACCTGTCTTCTAAGTTGTAAGGAAATTGCTTAACTTTCATCCCACCCTACAAGCTCACGGAGCTCCAGTTATAATGAAAAGGAGGCGTGGCTGGAGTTGAGAAACTTCTTTACATGTGTGTTTCAGGCACTAAAAACTCTACCTCAATAGATAGCACTGTGGTTATTAGTATCAATAATAAAACACAACGTGATATAATATGGCTAATGTAACTAACACATATATAATATCATATATCATATAAGCTACAATTCTGGTTTTTAAAATTTTACCTTATTATCAAATGACTACCTAGGATTCCTAGACAGTGGAAAATCACCATAGTTTCTTTCAGATCAATCAGAATTAAATAAGTAGGCTTTGCTGACCATAAAGTGAGGGGAGACTCTTGTTAACAAAAATAAAGTTCGTAGATTTACTGAAGGGTAGTAACTGCCAGTTCTTTTTAGAAAGAAAGATCCAGGAATTTGGAGGTGTCATTTCAAATATGTACTTATTATACAGAATTAAAAGTGATTCACATGAAGAGTCCTTATAGTAACTATAATCTGTCTCTCTAAAAATCAATAAATAAAAATTTGAAAAAAAGGAATAAAATTCTTCCAGCCGGAATATCAGGTAGACTGACAGAGATGAACGTAAGGCTCAGAGTTCCAGGTAGCCTTGTCCTTAATATCCAGTCATCTGTAGCTGTGGTTTAAAGTTCTCTGTGTGCCCCATTTTATTTTCAGGACGACCCAGTCCTTGGTATTCTCAGCCATGCTCTGTGTATTCTCTATGGATCAAGCCTAGGAGTGGACAGCTGTGTGCCATGGGAGAGGAGAAGGGCATGACACAGAAGCTAAAGGAATGCAGTCTCAGCGACAAGTTGTGTAGTAAGTACAAAAGTCTAAGTTCTGACCTTAGAAGAATGAAGACTTAGGTCTGGATAGATTCTAGGGGGAGAATAATTTGATTTGTAGTAGAAATGAAGACAGTATTGATAAAGAAATGGGCATAGAGGCCATTGTTTTTGAAAAGTGGCAGGTGAGATCCAGAGGCTGCATTCTTCATCGCGATAGGAAAAATACGAGAAGCACAGAGCACACTTGTTGGGTTAAGAAAGAGGGACACTGGCGGTTTGGATAAGAGAGTTGCCCCCAGTAGGGTTTCCATTGAATGGAAGTAGAGTGGAAGAAAGAAGAGATGACCATTTCTGTATGACGAGTGAAGGCCGGTGGGTAGGGGAACTTGCGTTGATATCAGGTTAGGCTTCTTCTTTAATCTCTTCTCTTCCCATTTAATTTCCTACCCAGTTATCCAGCAGCAGCAGTATGAAATCATCATCATCCCAGCCTTTCTGGTTGGCATCTCCCTCATCATTCTTGGGGTCATCCTGTGGCTTTTTATCAGAGGAAAAAGAGCCCAACAGCAGTCTCCTGGACTCCAAGGTAAAGCTCAAACTGGGGCTGGACAGAGGCTCAGGGAAGACAGAGATTGCAGAAAAATAAAACCCAAGTCTTGATGGGTCCAAGTCTAGAGGTCTAGGTCCCTGCAGTGGAAAAGGAGGCCTGGGTCCCTTCCTGTGGAACTGAGAGATGCGTGAGCTCTTCTTTTGGAAGTAGATAATTCATGAGTAGAAACTCCACATAGGCTTGTTAGCTGAAACCAGAATAGGCAAGAGGAGGCCTCGTGTGACCTGTTTCTGTCCTCTTATCATGCTATCAAATCTTTGGCCACATGAATGCCTAAGGGTCTGGGAGGAAGACCTCGTGGGTAAAGCCCACGGCTTTGTTACCAGCTTTGAAGGATGACATCTTACTCTAATACATTGCAGCCCTGCTCTGTGCCCCTGGAACACAGGATGAAAAGGGGCAGCTTTCATAATAGTCTTTTAAGTGTTAGGTAGTAAATGATATGCTGTTCTGGAGTACCACTGAGCATGTAATGAAAGACAACCAGCTAGGACATGATACTAAGAGTAAAAAGAAGGGGAAAAATCTGACAGTAATTAGAGTGGCTGATCCTTAATCTCTCTCTAAATTTTATCCTAATTCTCTTATAATTCACTCTTGTAGAAAAACTTCTCAAATAAGTTGTTTAAACTCATTCTCACTACTACTTGTCGCATTCTCTTTCTCTCTCTTTTTTAAGGACCTGTAAGGCTTAAGCTTTATTAAAATAATAATTATGCAACATTGAGGTTATAAAAATTGCCTTATTTCAACTGTGAAAATATAAAAACCACATACATATAAAATTTGAGGGTATTCAAGCATCCAACTTTAAGTTCCAGCTTTATCTCCTCATAAATGTAATCAAATTTAATTGAGACAATATTAATTCTTAGTTCGCATAAATATGAAGAGTATTATATTTCTACAAATTAAGATGCAGGAGAAAATAATACATCCTGTTTCTGATAAAAGCACAGAACTGTAGTGGTCAGTGCCAGCGACTTCCCAACACCCACTCCCTTCCAAACGGTTACTAGCAGACAATTATAGGAATCCTGGTGACGCTGGCGGTGACTGGGGAGAATGGCCGTGTGATCCATTCCTGAGCAATAATGAGACATGAGGAGAAACAAGGGGAGGTTTGCTGGGAGGACCTCTGTGAAAGGGGCTCTTCAAGTCCGTGAAGGAGACAGGGAAAAACTGCTCATCTTCTTTCTCTGGGTGCTGCCGTTCTCCATGAGTCCATGGAACAGCCGCAGCCTGAGAATGAAGCCAATACTACAGGCAGCGGAGCAGAGGGGGAAGGGGCCTGGTTCCTCACTGAGCGACGGAGCCCTCCGTAATTTGGGATTATAAATGTCCTTCCTGTTTAAGCCATTGGAATGAGGGTTTTCTGTTACTTGCACCCAAAAGCTCCCCAACAAAAACAAGAGCTGAAGGTGGAACAAAGGTAAACACTGACAGATGGTTATAACGTATTGAACTAAATTTACTCCTCTTGGTAAATCAACTTCCCTTACAGTTATTTTTTATTGCATTTAAATTTTACATAGTCCCCCTGTCAAAATGATTGCCGTTAATTTTTTTATACTGTTATATCCACCGTCTGCCCTCTCACATAGTATTGCTGACAAAGGCAAACAAACCTGAATCTAGCTCTGCTGAGGCACCCAGGGGCGTCCCCCATTTACAGTGCAGGCTGTGGCAGTGCCCTGATGGACGCGTCTGCAGGAAAGAACCAGACAGTCTCCTAAAAACTATTTTTGAAAATAAAAACAACTAAACCCTTTCTTAAAACTAGTAACACATCCTTTACGCACTGGCCTCCCGGCTGCATTGGGAGCACTCGCACGCACCTGGGATAACCTTGAGCAGAAATGCCACAGGCCGAGCGCAGGAGCAGCGACGGGCACCAGGCATCGCTGGCGCCGGTGAGGGGCGCGGCGGCGCTGCGCAGCCCGGAGGGTCCCCGCGGCTCC